TATTTATAACATACTATAAAATTTACAGATCATACTAAATAGATAAATAAACATTTTTAGTAGTTTATTTTAGTAGTTTGGTGTTAAAAAGCGGAACTACAAAAAAGCATGTTTTCAAATCTTTGTAAACGCCCCTTTCGCACGCCACGCCTCCCTCAACTCAAAAACCAATCACAAACACAGCTCTTACGGTCTATAAAAGTGAAGACATGTCTCACTAGTTTCAATCAAAAGTCTAATATATTAGGAATACCTGTGACTTGAACCCAAATATAAACCCAAACATTCCATCAGATTCCTCCAGCTTGTAAAAACACTGCCGATATATTCACCCTTTTTTTACACCGCTGTCTGTTTCTTTGTATTTTGGCAAGCTTTAACTTCCCATTTCCCGTGTGTGAGTGAATAAGATCAATGCATTACGCAGCGATCAGGGCTGAGGATGTTTTACACGGTGACCTTGTGTTTAACAACCATCACGCTTTTCCTATCAGTTAACCACTGACTGCAGAAGCACTTTTAAAAGGTGAATCACTGATTACTGCAAATGACTCAATTAAAGCAGACAATTACTGCACATAATGACTGAATATGAAAAGCATTTTAAGGGGCCCTTGGCTTTTGGGGGTCCAAGGTGATTGCCGACCTTTGCCTGATGGGTAAGTCCGCCTCTGATGAGTGCATGTGAGATGAGTAGAGGAAATTATTCATTTTAATCTATGGAACAGCATGTTATCCTGTTAAACTGCCCGAATCTGTGCAAAACGTGTCAAGAACGTGTGCAGGTCACATTTCACCCCAAAATAAAAAGAAACAAACTACATAAATTACCTTATTAATAGAAAATAAATAAGATCTTTTTTTTTTTGCATTCATGCCAATGAAGCCCATTTTCCCCATACATTCATTAACATAATACAAAACAACCTCATTGTCATTACTGTAATGAAAAAGACTAAGAATTACTGTGTTACGAATATTGTCAGATCTGCGATAAATTGTTTTTGTTCCTCTATTGTCGATTAGGATAAAAGCAATGGCTAAGGGCATAAACGTAAATGTTATAGGTTTCGTATTTTAAAAATAAATGTAAAATAAAATAAATGTTAGTGGTTTAAATGTAAGTAAATGCAATGAACAAAAAACTCTTGATATGTGACAGAAATGAAAATAATTTTTTGCATTAAAAATAAATTAAAAATCTTAGTGGTTCTTAAAAATAGTAAAAAAAACAAAAAACAAAAAAAAACACACACATATATATATATATAATGTAGTAAATGTATTACAGTAATTACAGAAATAATATCACAGAAATAATGGAAAATACAAAAAAACTCAATATATGACAGCAATGAAAATTATTTTTTGGATTAACAATAAATTGAAAATCTAAAAGGCTCTAAAAATCTATTATATAATGAACAAATGTATATAAATGTAATATAAATGTATTGCAGTAATGAAAATCACCCTTTTTCACACAAAAAATATTAATTAAAAATAAATTAAAATGTTAACTGTTCAAAAAATTTGCAAATAATAAACAAAAATAAATAAATGTAAATCTATTTCGGTAGTAAAAAAAAAACTGGATATGAATGAAAATCATATTTTGCATTAAAAATAAATTTTTACATCTATAAAAGGTTAAAAAAAGGACTATATAAAGAATAAAAATGTATGATTTTATAATTTTTTCTTTTGATTTTGGGGGTGAATTGTGACCTGGTGATTCGCCTCATCACTGTTCTCATTCATTAATAACATCTTCCTGTCTGAATTATTTGGACCCTACACGTGTCGTCTCGTCTCCTCATAACACAGTTGTTTTAAGCAGGTTTCTGGGAGCCTGCAGCTCGACCCAGGAGACGGTGGCCTGAAACTGCAGCGTGTGCGTCTTCACAGAAGCGGGGGAGGATTGAGGCGCTTGTGTGTCCTCAGCAAAACTGAGATCATCAGCCCCGAAAGACACGCCACAATTTATCAAACCCTCAACGGCTGGCAAACAAAACCAGGGTTTATGAGCGTGGATCATGAAGGTGAGCGTATCAAACATCTTGACAGATCCCTCCCAGCTGATTAATGATGCAACGTCAGACTCAATTCTGCAAATCGGTTCTTTCAAACTGTTCGTTTCCATGAACTGGTCTAAAAAGTCGACGGCGTGGCATATTAAATGCTCTAAAAATAATAATGCTAAATGTAGGCACATTTAATTCACATCCTGATCTGCTGCTCCAACAGGGAAACTGGATTGAAAATGAAAATTACAACTGGAAATAATGGCAATTAAAAAAACAAATGACAATATGACAGTAATTAAAATCGTATTTTTTGCATTAAAAATAAATTTTAAAAACTTGTCCTTAAAAAAAATTGTATATAATAAACAAATAAATATAAATGTAATGTAAATGCATTGCAGTAATGAAAATCACCATTGGGAATAATGGGGCGGGGGTGAACTCTGGATGAAAATAATTCATATTCATAACCATTGAGAATAATAGGAATTACAAAAAAAATAAAAATATCTAGATATGACGGTAAAGATTTTTTTCACCCACTAAAACGGAATTAAAAATCGTAATGGTTCTAAAAAATATAAGTATATAATAAACAAATAGATATAAATGTAATGTACATGTACTGCAGTAATAAAAAAAAAAAAATCACCATTGGGAATAATAAAAAAACAAAAACCTCTGCATATAACAGTAATGAAAATCAAACTTTTTTGCACTAAAAATGAATTAAAAATCTTAATGGTTCTAAAAAGTATTAGTATTTAATAAACAAACAGATATAAATGTAATGTAAATGTATTGCAGTAATGAAAATCTCCTTTGGGAATAATAATAACTACAAAAAAAAGCATATTACAGTAAAAAAAGTTATGAAAATCATTAAAATAACAAATCTTAATGGTTCTGGCAAAAAATAGATATCAATGTAATGTAAATGTATTACATTGAAAATCACCATTAGGAATAAAATTAAATTAATTTGTAGTACAGTAGGTTCTTTTATCTCTCATGAGCTGAAATGTGTTTTTTTTTCATCAGGACTAAAGGGAATTTTAATCAAGAAATTAGTTTTATTTAGTTTGATCTTTTATTTGAGCTTCACTGGCTGTATAAAGTACATGAACATTTATTTTCCTTTAGAAAATCCAACAAATACAGACTGTGCAACATTCAAGTAATCAAACTGGAGCAACATAATCGTCGCAAGTACAAAATAACTTGATTTAGTGAAGCACTTGAACTCTTTTTGGAGATGTGTGTTTCATAATTAAACACAAGAAACGGAGTTGCATGAGGTGGATGGACGCAGGTGTTGAAGACATCCGCTTTACATCATGTCCAGCTGCATCAAAAAACATCAGTCAACAACTTAGCATGTTGTCAAATCTCTAATAAGTATAAAGGAGTTAATATACTTTCAGACCATAATCACACTCACAAATATAATAATGTATATGCTTGTCATGAAAACAACCAAACAAGCATGAAATGCTCACCAGATCGTCCACATCTCCAGTGTCGTCCTGCGCTGGAGCCGCTTGCACTTTCTCTTTCTGCTCAAACACCAAGAACTAGACCAGCAAACACAGAGTTAACCGACCATAATAACACACAGACTTTACCAACAACCTCGATGTGTAAAACAGATGTCAAAAATACCAAATTAAACACTAAAACCAAAAATATGAGTTTGGCAATGTGCTCACCCTCAGACCATCCAAGATTAGGATGAGTTTGTTTCTTCATCAGATTTGTAGAAATGTAGCACTGCATCAGTGTCTCAGCAATGGATGCTCTGCAGTGAATGGGTGCCGTCAGAATGAGAGTCCAAACAGCTGATAAAAACATCACAATAATCCACAAGTAATCCACAGCACTCCAGTCCATCAGTTAACATCTGGAGAAGACAAAAGCTGCGTGTTTGTAATAAATTCATTATTAAGACATTTTTTACTTCAAACCGTTGCTTCCAGCTAAAATATGAGTCCATCATCCATAATAATGCTTCCTCCAGTGAAAAAGTGGTCTGGTCTGAATCAGGAGAGAAATCTGCACAAATCAAGCACCATTTACAAGCCAAAACAGCTCTAAACAAATATGTGGCTGGATTTTGATGTGAGAGACAACAGGAGATGCACTTTTTCACTGGAGGAAGCATTATTATGGATTATGGA